ATGACCCTGATTTTTTCCCCCATTTGATCAGTCGGTTAGTCGATAGAGAGGAAGAGAGGGAGAAGTGACGAAAACACCACCTTCTCTCTACGATCTACGACTCAACGGACTTCGAATAAACTCGAGCCAAGAGAAAAGGTTGCTCTCCTCCTCAAGGGCTACGCCTACGTACCAAAAACGAGAATTTTCACTGAAGGTTGAAAAATGAAATTTTTGGGAGGAGAAGATTCTAGCTAGAACTGAGTTCTTGGGACTTCCTACGATTGTTCTTTACGCTTCAAGAGGTAGGGTTCCTTCCTACTCGGGTTTATTTAACAACCTAGGGTGTTGTATGTAATGGGTATGTTGATAAATAGATTTTATCATGACCTATGTTGTGGAGATTGATGAAATGGGTATTAAAATTGGGTAGAATGGAATTTTACCTTAAAATGGGTTGTGAATTAGACTCAATGTGATCCATGGAATTGAGTATTATGTGGGCATGTTAAGTGTTTATTTTATGCCTTAGAAATTAAGTGTTTTGTTAGCATATGTTATGTAATAACAGGTTTGTGAATTGTTGTTGAAAATGAAATGTTGATATATGTTCATTGATATATAGCATTATGAGAAAGTTTGGTAATTATATGCTTCAAATATAAATTGCCATGGAACCTGTTTAAATGTACTTAATTTTGCTCATATGACATTCATTACATGTGGGCATGACATTGAAATAGCAATGGTGCATTACATTGCATATGCACGGAGATATCGCGTTTTATGGGTGCGGTTGCATGGTTGACATCAAACACCACGTAGGTGAATGATGGGTGGGCTCGAAAAGTTGGATTGAATATCCGGCTGAGACACACGGTTGCATAAAAATGAATTGGGTCGGGATTAGCAAGAAGGGTTAGACTATCCCTAGGGTGAGAGGCCCGGTATTGCGGATACGCACCTCCGTTGGTATAAGAGCCCATAAAGTGTGTCGGTGTACGCGGAACCATTGGCGGAAGTTCATGAATTCCGTGTCGGTTGGGTGACCGTTGGTGTAAGTCCATAAATATCCACCCCAAGAAAGACCCGAAAATTTTAAATAGTCATTGAGTGTGTAACACAAATGGCGGGGGCTTGGAAAGCCCGATTTTAACTCTCATTGCATAGCATGGGGTGAAGGTAAACCGCCAGAGCTAGAAAAGCTCATTCTTATGCACATAGGCTTTGCATATGTTGTGGAGCCATGAAGGGCTCGGGTAAATTGCATGAATGGGCAGCATCTCAACTCATGGCATGGTATGTTAGATTCCAACCTTGACTTGCTTAAGTGTTGGTTAGAATGATTGTTGTTGTTAAAAGTTGCATGTGAACATTGCATATGCACTTAGGTTCGGGAGTAGCCTCTGTAAGAAACATTCTACTAGGCGTTGGCTCACCCTATACGGGAACATTTCAAGTGTGGGGTTCGTACCGGTGGAGGACTCACATTCGGGGCCTCAACAATGAAGAAAAGCCAGTTTGTGGCTTTTGAAAATGAGTTTTTTGTAAAACGTTTTTGAACAAAACCTTTTGAAAGGTCACAACAAAACCTTCCGAAAGGTCTTGACAGACAAGGAAAATGGTTGGACAGTGGGTGAAACTTTCCGGAAGGTCTTCACATTTTTCTAAAATGAGGGAACCCAGTGTGTAACTTCTTTCGGAAGGTTTAACACACCTTCCGGAAAGGTCGACACTTCTATCTTCAAGATAGGGTTCTAGTATGCTAAATCTTCTGGAAGGTCAATCTTATGGAAGGTTTTTCAAAAATCCAAAATTTTAAAAATGCATTGTCATGCTTTTAGGCTATGTGTTCTTTGTTTTCAATTACACAAATGGATCTTAAATGAGATACATTGGGGTATGTTGAATCTCGATGGGATTAAATGATTAAAGGTACACGGGTTACACGTGTGAGTTATAATCCCGGACAAAGGGATATTATTGACGTGATGCCGGAGTGGGCAACAATCACGGGTTTTTCCGTATGTTGACGGGTGGTCAACGGTTGATAAAATGACCCTCGGATTTGGGGCGTCAAATATTTATACAAGAGAATGCATCTCTAATCATGTTACCCATTTCTTATGCAAACCCTAGGTTGTAAATAAACCTAGCTAGGAGAATAACCCTACCCCTTAAAGCGTAATGCACATAGGAGAAGCCCCAAGAAACCCAACTCAAGATTTAAACCTTAATTACCAAAAATTGTGATCTTGAGACTTCGGCAAAATCCACGATTTTTTAGTATTTAGACGTAGCTCATGTTGCGTAGAACAACTTTTAATCTTGGCCCAAAGCGATTCGACGAACGAAAAATCGTAGATCGCAAAAAGAAGGTGGAAAAACCTTTCTTTCTCTCCTTTTCTCCCCTTTCACTTTTCCAGAAAAAAAAAACCCAGCCACCAACGGGGGGAAAATCTGATTTTTCCCCTTTTTATATCCCTTGGATACTTGGCCTACAACGCGCCACACGTCCCGGCTTTTTTGATTCGTCTTGATTCCGAATCAATTACATATCATCCTGTGTCATATTCAATATGTTTTATCAGAACTAAATTTAAATTATTTTTCATGTTTCGACATTAAAATCCGATCGCATTTATTTTGGTCACCCAACACTCAATCACATCGTAAAATGCACAAAATTTGACTATTTTGAAATTCAACAAAAATTGACTAGGTAACTGAATTTCGCAAGGCAAATCCAATGATGAGGTATGTTTTGTCATTTGAGGTCTAGAAAAAATCAGGTTTTTTGACCCCTACCGTAGTGGCTAATTATAATTTTGTCATTATTCATAAAATTTTAAATTTTCCCGAGTTTTACAAGAAGTGCCAAAAATACTCGCACGACCCAAGGCAACCAGCCTAGAATCTGATCCCCTTAACAAGCCAATGGCCCTTTGTGCAATGAGGACTGGACTTTATGGGACCAATGCCTAGGGCACCTGGGAATAAAAATTTGTCGCAATCGATTATTTCCCAAAATGAGTGAAAGTCGAGCCCATTGCAAATATTGGCGACACACACATAAAGAGGTTCATTTGGAGGAATACCGTAACTAGGTTTGACATCCCTAGAGCTCTACTTTTTTACAATGGAACTCAGTTTTATAGTGGGCCTTTAAAACATTCTAGCAGCACTAAGGGATTAGAAATCAGTATTATTCCCTAGGCTACCCACAGAGAAAATGCACATGTAGATATTTTCATATAGAAAATCTTGGACGGAATGAGGAAGAAGCTGGAAAAAGCCAAGGGTAAATAGGTAAAAGAACTGCCCAATGTGCTAGGGCGTCTCGAACAACACTAGGCCAAGCAAAGGAGGAAACCCCTTATGCCTTAGCTTATGAACTGGATGTTGTCATCCCACTAGGAGTTGGACTCCATACTCTTAGATCCAACCTCATGAATATTGGAGGAAACGAGGAGCCGATCGCAAAAGACTCGGACCTAGTATAAGAGCAACTGACAGCCATAAGGACGACATCCTACCAACAACAAATGGCCCAAACAAATGAAAAAAAATTTCAACCTAGGGGATTCCTGGTTAGGGACCTAGTGTTTAAGAAGGTCATGGAGACCACAAAAGATCCCATAGAGGGAAAGATCAACGCTAATTAGGAAGGGCCGTATAGGGTTACAGGTGTTAGAGGGACCTAGGCTCAAGAAACTTGAGGGAAAGCCGATCCCGTAACCTTGGGATGTGGTAAACCTCTAAATGTTTTATTTCTGAAGTATCTTTAGAGGCATGAATAGAAAGGAATTGACCTTTAATCATTGAACTGGAGTGCCTCAAGAAACAAAGTAATCTCTACTTGCGGTGTCTGTAATATTATATATGGAATCGCAAAAAACAAGTTGAACGGGTAAAATTTGAGACCGATTAGATCGGCGTGCTAGTGTGAAGGGTCACAATAAGTGACCAAGAATTGAGGCCCGAACCCTTAATTGAAGTTGATCCTCTTTTCTAGGGGAAGGGGGCCATGATTGAATATTTTTTCTAAGTATGAAGGCCCTAGCCCTTCATTGAGTTCCAGCCTCTTTGCTAGGGGCAGGGGGCATAATTAAAAATTTTCTAAGTATGAAAGACTAGTCATCATTGAGGCGGAGCCTCTCTACTAGGGGAAAGGGTTATGATTGAAAATTTTTGTAAGTATGAATGACCCTAGCTCTTTATTAAGATCGAGTCTCTCTGCTTGGGGAATAAAGCCACGATTGAAATTTTTTCAAAATATGAAAACCCTTGCCCTTCATTGAGACCGAACCACTTTGCTATGGAAAAAGGGTCATGCTTAAAAATATTTTTTATGCATAAAAAGTCCAAACCCTTCATTGAGGTTGAGCCTATTTGCTAGGGGAAGGAGGCATGATTAAATTTTTTCTAATTATGAAAGGCCCTAGCTCTTCATCGAATCTGAGCCTTTTTTTCTAAGGGAAAGGGGCTGTATTTGAAATGTAAGAATGAAGGCCCAAGCCCTTCAATGAGGCCGAGTCTCTTTGCTAGGGGAAGTGGATAGCACTTGAAATTTTTCTTAGTGCAAAATCCCAAACCTATCATCAAGGCCGAGTCCCTTTGATAAGGACAGGGACATTGTAGAAATCATGTAAAACATATGAAATTAAGACATCACTTGAAGGGGGGATTCCCATTCATTGACTAGTTCAGAAAGGAATACATCAAAAAAAGCAACATTTAGAAGTTCTTGTAGGTGGGGTCAATAGGTGCCTCTTGCTCAGGAACAACATTACCCGAGGATGGTAGAGTCATAGAGTGCCTAGAAAAAAGCTCGGAACTGAGAGGGACTTTAGCAGTAACCAAATCAATGTTCGAACCATTTTTGAGGAAAATCTTTTTGTCTCCGCTTTTTCAAACCCCTTATCATAAGCATTGTCTTTAGTAATTTTAGATGAGGATTGAAGAGCCTTGAATTCCTCTGATAGATAGGCAAGTTGTTCCCTCATCTAAATGGACTTCTCTTAGGTTGCTTTCTCAGCTTGCTTGGTCCCTTTTAGATTCTTATCGAGCTCCTCACTTTGGTCGGATAGTTTGACTAGATTAGCATGAAGACGAGAAATTTCCTTGATGACCTTAACGTATTCACTTTCAAGGTGATTGTACTTCTGAATGATAAGGGAATTGGATAGAAAAGCCTTCCTCATCTCCTCACCATTCTTCACGACCCAAACCCCAAGGTCACAAACTCGCTAAAGGCCCTAAAGAGATAACAAGTTTCATGAAATCAATAAAAGGAATGAAAACCCCAAAAACTTAGAAGATATTCCTACTTACCACCACCATTATTTGAAGGGCGCTCTGGGCCAATGAATCACCATCCAAACTCTTAGAAGTTTGGAGGTCAGGTGGAAGAATTATTGCCCTAGCAATGCCTACGAACACATCCATGTCTTCAAAAATCAAATGCTTGGTTAGAATTTCCCTACCTGGGGCCTTTAGTTGAGGCTATGAGGCAAGAACCCCATCAACCTTTTTGAGTTCCCTCCTTAGTAGCGATAGATTGACTAACCAAACCTTTTCTCTTTTTCGTAGCATGTTTCCTCCAAACGAGCTCATTTATGGAGGTACACCCTTTGGTTGGATCCTCATCTTCTTGTCGCTCAACTTGTTTAGAATTAGAACCAACAATGATTTCTTCAAGGAGCTCCATTGGGCTAGACTGAATAGGGGTAGGCTCAGTAAATGTGGCTCCAACAAGAGGTTTCAATGTTGGAGTAGCCTCCAGAGTTGTTCCAGAACCTAAAGTTCCCTCAAATGTTGGATTTAAAATCAAGTCAATGAAATTAGTGGTAACCTTTCCTCTTCCCTTTCCTCTTCTTCGAGGACTCCTTGTTGGTGTAGAAAGAGATGCTTCCTTAGCCCAAGCAACTCTAGGCTCAGTGAGTTACTGAGAAGTCATAGAAGGAGCAACAATATAAGAATGTTAGGTTGGCTCATACTCGAGCAATACATGAGCAGCTCGACACCAGATGTCATTTGCACCAATTGACAAAACCTTTCACAAATCGGAAAAAATTAACCTTTGATTCAAGAACCTTGACTTTGACAATTTCTCCTATAGAAAACCCAGACGTTAGAAGGAACAATGAATGAAAAACAAAGCGAGTAAAAGAGGGCACCAACGAATGTCACCTAGGGCACCCTTTCAATATGGACAGTTGTAGCTCTTTGCTCTCTCTCTATTCCCAGTTACCAGAAACCAATAGGACATTGTTTTCATGGTCCCTATTTGAGTCAGGATGGCGGGTGATAGTAGTTTTTCTCAGAGGTAGGGATGATAATATAGCAATAGAAGATGTCCCAAGGGCCAAGATTGGTTCCTAAAAGATTATTTAATGCAACAACCCCCATAAATATCCTAAAGAAGTTGGGAACACATTGAATGGGGAAAATTTCCAATGTATGAAGGACCCAGAGAAGCAGATGGTGGAGGGGAAACCATACCACACCCTCCATTACAACTCTAGTATGGATGGGGAATGACTCCCTAGAATTTATATGGGGTGAATGCAACCTTGATGATCACTTCATCAAAGATGGGGCATTTGGTCCAAAACTCAGGTGTCTGCTCTTCTTTTAAGAGTGCCATGGGTGAAAAGAAGAATAGGAAAAATTAGAGACAAAGAAATGAAGAAAGCACTTATAGTTTCAAAGGATGCAAAAGTTTGAGGATGTCAGTAATGGTAGAAGTGAAGAAATGGAGGAGATGGCCCTTTAAGTAAAAGAGAAGAGGCGCCAGAAAACAACACTAAGAGCATTGAAAGATGGATCATCCAATGCAAATGATTGCTTTTTCCATTGAAATGACACAAGTAGTGACTCTTGTAAGAAATGATACAGTGCAATTAATGTGAGATCCATATTTCAAATAAATATAAATGTTTGATAGTATTTTTTTTAAATGATTAAAATGATGAGAAAAATTATGAATCGTTATTAAAAGAATAGTCGCATAAGTTTGAGTTATAGGCGTATTGATTTTTGGGTTAAATTTAATTTTTGAGTTGTTTAAGGTTGATAAGAGTAATTAAGTAAATTTATTAAGTTTTTTTTATGTCAAAATAACATTACCATTAAATATGGGTGGTCTGAAAATCATGGAATAAACTTTTAGCTCATATAGTGGTTCAAAGGGGTAAATTAGTAATTTTAGTATTTTAGGTGTAAATTGACTTTAATTTTGAGATGAATAAGAAAAATAAATATTTTTAGGTTAAAATAACATTAAAATGAATCCGAAACGAAGAAAAACCTTCGGGTAGTCATAGGGATCAAATTGAAGATGTTTAGTAGCAAAACCGTAATTTCAAAGATAAATGTAATTTTTTGCCCTATGAACAGTAAAACTCGGGATTTGCTGTTTTTAAAACACCATTTTCAGCCCCATTTGTCCCATTATTTCTTTCCATTCTCACCCAATACTTATTAGAACCCTAGGACAAGATAAAGGGAAAGAGAATAGGGAAGAACAAGGTCTCTAGAGCTTGGGTTTTGTTTGAAAATATAAGAACATTACTTGGGATTCTTGGATCCACTTGGACATTTGAAGGTGGAGCTTGGGTTCTTGAGTTTTGAGGTAGGGTTTTGATTTGTTTTAATGTATTTAATTTGTCTCTTAAGAATGAGTATGTTCCTTTGTAAATGCATATTTGAAAATTTTATGTCTATTATGTGTTTGATAAAATGCCAAAGTGACTATAAGTATTGTAATGATAAATTGTGGAAAGAGGTATTGATTTTTATGATGTGATTGAGTATATTTTACCATAATTTGGGGTATTGTTGAGTTATTTTAAGGTATGAAAATGGTGATATTGATCTATATAACTTCTTAATAATTTAATTTGTGAAATTTGCTATAAAAGGCTACAAATTGTATTGTTGGTGTGTATGTGAGTTATTTTAAAAATGTGTTATGTTGGAAATAGAAATGTGAGATTTTATAAACTATGTATTTTTTTAAAAGTGTTGAACTTGTGGTTAGTGTTGGGAATGGAAAGTGATCATGAAATTATGGTTTGAAACTTGATCAACAAGCAGAGGATTAGTAGACGATTGAAGCCCTTGAGGAGGGTTACCAAGGCGATTACTAGTCCTAGGGGGGATTGGTGATGGTAGTGGTTTTCGGCGATAGCTTGTGTGGCATCACAAGTTGTGCCTACACATCCCCCTGAAAAGTAAGAAGGGTGATGGTTCATTCGTGAATTGATGTTAGTTTGGTGATAATTGTCAGTATGGGTAGCATACATGGATTTTGGGTGACAAGAAATGAATAGACTAATATTCCAATAAATCTCTTGAGTGAGGTGAGGCAAGGTGAGGTTGAGGTGAAAGTACATGGAGTAAATAATTTTGAAAAATATTCTAGAAAGAAAAATTTCATGAAATTGTGTTCAAAATAAGAAATGATTAGTTTATCAAATTTATTATGCATATACTTGTATAAAGATTTCTCACATTGTACTTTATAAAATCAATGGTGTTGCATTATGTTTTTAAGAAGAAAGGTTTTATAGTGTTACTTTGAGATTTGATTTAAATGTGGTAAATTCATTGATGTTTCACTTACATATTTCAAATGATAGCATATAGTGTACTTTTAAAAATGCTCACTACTTATCATTTACCTAGACTTATTGATAAATTATTTTATTACCTATCATTATGATTTGTGAACTGTTGGTATTTAAAACTTTGTATATCCTTGAGAAAAGAATTATCCTACTGAGCAAGTGGTTGCTCACCCTTATCATTTAACATTTTCAGTTATGGACATGTGTTGGTGGACTGCATAGTGGGAGTATCAAGGTAGAAGACAGTTGTTATGATTTTTATATATTTAGTTAGGGTGTGTAAAGAACAATGTATAATGATGTATATTATTGAGGATTTTTAAGTGATTTCTATCTCAATTACTTTGAGGGAATATGTATAGATTGGGACATTTTAAATGGTTTACTTATAAAAATTTTAGAGATTTTGAATATTATGTTCATGAGGAAGAATTTTGAATAATTAGAATATAACCCGGGTTTTGGAAGACTTCGTGGGTCTCCATTTGCCTCCCCGATATTGAACGGTAATGACTTATTTGTGGATGTCATGAGAAGGGATTTATATGATTGATATGATACGAATGGCTAGGAAGGTATAATTATTATTTTTAATGCTCTTACTTGTAGCTCTCGCCAATTCTCTGGGTATCCGATTTTCAAAAAAAACTCTGCCAAAATTTTATTAAATAAAATTATTTATTTAAACTAAAAGGATACTTTCATAGATAATTTTAAAACAAATCCAAAATTTCATTTGGAATAATTTTTTTTTTAATTATGCTTTTATGAATTTTGGGGCGTGACAGATTAGTATTAGAGCTTAGAGATTAGGTCTTACATGGGAGCCATAGAGAAATGGGTGCACCAATATTTGAGATAGATTGGAGACATGTGTGGTGACAAAGAAATTATTTTTACATCATGAGTTTTGTATGTCATAGAGAGTATTAGTATATTTAATTTGTGAAGTCAAGGATGTGTGGTAATTCAATTTTGTTGCTTGGAGAAAAGGTCAACTATGGTGTCCTTTATACAATTTTGGTTAGGTGAAGTTATTGGAATTGATAAAGAGGTTAAGAATTGCAGAAAGATTAAAAATTTTGGTTTGATGGTGAACTTTGAGTTGGATGTATCTTCCATTAGGGTGAGTAAGAGCCTATAAAATAGTACAATTTTTAAATACAATCAATTGGAGGGGCATGATAAAATGAATAAGTATTTGTGTTAAATTTGGAATAAGAGTACAAATTGTGATTTTGCTTGTGAGTGGATTGGAGGTTGTTTTATGACTATTTATTTAAGGTTGTCTATAGTGGTTTGGAATTAGTATGGATAGTTGGCTAGTGTTGCTTTGGGTAAAAATTAAATGTTAAGTGATGACTTAATTTTTGTACAATTGGATTATAAGAATTATTCATAAAAGGTATGATTGGATGATTTTGGTGCAATAATTGATGAATTATATCAAATGACTTTGCTTGAAGATTAATTGAGAATGACATGGTAAGCCTTTGAAGGAAAAAAAAATATGGAGTAAAAAAATTAGTCATTACATGAAAGGGTAAGAGGGATTGGACTACGTGTGAGTGTTATATGACCATAACTCTCCCAAGTAAATAGAAGGTGTTATCCTTGAGGGTAGACCATGAACCTATTTTGGTTTTTATGTGATTTTATTTTGTGGTGTTTATAGTTCACAACATTTAAACCATCTAAAGCTAGTGATAATTGGGAAGCCCTTGGTTGAGTGTGGGGTTGATAGTTAAGTGGTACTCATGGACTTTAAATGAAAATGGAGATCAAGGCTATGGACTAAAATTTTGAAGTCCCGTGCCAAGGAAACTTACAAAGTTTAATAAATTTTTGGCCCTAAATATTATTAGATAGTGGTGCATAAATGTTCAAAATTATCATTTATATTGAGTAACTAAAAGAACAATGATGATGTTCAGTATTCAACATAAACTCTTTTCGTGGTGTGAGATCTTTTAATGTCTTTGAAAGTTAAATATTGTAGAAATATGGAAGTTTATCTCTAGCTCTTTTCAATCCATCATTAGATTTGATAGGCTGGAGTTGAGAATTGTGGGTATTGAAGATCATAAATTTTTGAAAAGAAATCTTTGCAGTTAGTTGTGATGTTAAAAGGGTTTAATATGATAGATCGATGTAGAAAATTACACATGGTGGTTTTGATATTAACAGACGAATGGTTAATTAAGTTCGATTAAAATGTGAGATTACTCTATTAGCCGATGAATAGTTATCATCTCGTGGATCATGAGAAATTTTTGAGGTTATGGTGATTAGTAGTGTGGAATTGAAGAATGATTTGGACCCTTAGGAATATAACTTTATATTAGTTATATTTTATAGTTTAAGAAATATTAAGGTGCTTAATTGAATCATGGGGGCTTAAGAGTTTCGTAAAATGTGTTGTTGTATTCTTGGATATAAGGAAGCTATAACATTTTGCTACGGGTTATTACTTGAGGCGATTTCTTGTTATCATGACGGCATTGGACATCTAACTCTTGGGAGACAATAATGAATTTTAAATTGAAATAGACATTAGGCGACAGCCCAGAACTCGAAGACAATGTTTGGCAATAAATCTTATTTGCACGTCGAAGAAAGATAAAGGGTAGATCGAATTGATTAAAAATGTGGAGATATTATGATAGTTCTAAAAATATTAATCAAGGGTTTTGCATTTATCTTGTACTTATGATAGAGAATTCATGAGAATTTTTTTTAGTTGTTAGTTTTGATTATAATGAAATGAAAAAGTGAATTGAAAATTTATAATTAGTATCAGAGTGTGCAGTGAAAACATTTGGTTAGATTTTATATTGTTGGGATTAATCATTTAGTTATCATTACACGGATGTAGATGAAAAATATAATTAAGAAGTAAAAATCAATTTCTTGGATAACTAGGTGTCTACTTTGAAAATTATCACTATCGACAATCTTTTGGTATTCACCAAATCATAACAACTTGAGGTTTGTTATAGGATTTAATGCTACGTTG